CTGCATGCCTCCAGATGAGTCTAAATATTTCAAGAAAATCAAACTTGAGAACAATGTACTAAGATTTATAGATAAGTAAAGACTTCAAAATTCAAGTAATAATTTACATGTTAAGTGTGATTAAACACGGATTTTGTAGTATTTATCACCATATTTCTACTGCATGACTAATGCAGTTTTTGCATATTTTGACCTATTTTACATGGATTTTAAGTGCTGTTTGCAATGTTTAAATCCCTTTCTTGGTTTACTTCACAATATTCTACTGTTAAAAAATAACTAATTTTTTGTGTGTGTGGAATAAGGATGAACCTGGAGGCATGCTGCTTTGAAGAATTTTTAGTCTTGATGTTTTCCTTTCATTTTCTGTCATTTTATTTATATAGTGCTTTATATGATAAATTGTATAAACTTATTTACTATAGTGAACTAATAAAAGATTAAATCTATAATGCGAGTTTTGTTCTTTAATGTTGCTTTATTTGCATTTTTTTTTTTATAAAACTTTGATATTTATATCATACATTTTGAAAGATCGGATTTACGTAAAATTTATACTTCAGAAAGTATTTGCCTGTAACTTGTTATTATTACAAGTTGGTCTAACCTGGGTTAATGATATTATTTGTATCCAAGGTCTAGAACCTACAAAAGTAAGCAAAATTTGTTTTACTACGGACTAGACTCTGTTCAACAAGCAAAATTTCAGTTGACACAATGTTACATGACAATTAACAGAAGGTGTTCATTGAAAACATTCTTGATAAAGAAGATAAGAAATAGAAAAAGGTTCTGCATGAAAACAGAAGAAAATTGTTCAAAAGCTTTGAGAGACAGTCCTGTTGGAGGCATTTTACATATAAATAAACTATTGATATGATTACATTTTTTTTTGTATTAAGTATTTTCAAATTCACAATAAGGTTAGTTACTAATCAAAGACAGAGTAAACAGTTTTGCAAATACCAACATGCTGTCCTTTTGTATACCACAGACTTGTATTACAGTAAAGAAATATAAAGCTCCATGCTCATACAAACCAGAAGTTACTGTCGGTTAGAAGTATTGTCTGATACGGTTGTAATAAAAAATGTCAACAAAGCAGTTGATTTTTGTTTAGCTATTTATTATTTGGGAGAGGCTCAATTATCATATAAATTTTTGATTATGATTAGCGGCTTTTATTATTCCTGATACCGATAACCGGAATATACCCGACACTTGTTTAATTTTCACCAAAAAGGAAAAGTACAAATACACCGTCATCCGTGGCAAGGGCAAGCAACTCTGTCTGAAAAGGTAAACAAAGTTTACATTTTTATTTCATTTTACTTATTATTTGCTTTGTATAAACTGTCATGTTATTTGATCTTTTGGATTAGTTAGGAAAAATATCATAATTTAAAGCAGATCGTTATTTGACAGTTGGTTAATTAAAAAAATCATGATGTTTCAGTCAATTCAGATTGTTCAAAGTTCAGTTCACTAATGAACATTGATGAACAGAAGTTTTTGCTTTATGAGATACGAGAGCCGACCCGCCCGTTAAGGCAGAAAAAGCATTTTTTGCTGTCGAGCACGGGACATGTCACCAGTCACTTTGACAGTCGCAGTGCACAAAAATCAGTTAGATCTGTATGAAAAGATTTTTTTTTAGGACAGTAAAAAATAAAAATATTTTTTTAGTCATAGTAATTTTTTTTCTTCATAGCGAGCTCAAAGTTGGTCACTGCTTGGCGGCTAATGAGAACCTATCTGTACAGTAACCTTAGGCAGTATGAAAAGGTGATGTTGCTGCAAAGCAAAAGGCATGCGTTTCAAGCCATTACTTCATTTTAGGGCTCCCGTGCCTTGCACCTTTCCACGTCATCCCTCAGGGATTATTTTTGGCTTATTTTATAGCCTTTATTGGGTCATATTCCAAATTGAAAATAGTATATTATTTTCCCAATCCACAGGAAAATATTCCCAATTGTGAGTTACAAAATGAAAATATTGAATAAAGAATTCTAAAATCTTTGAAAATAAGGGCTTCTTCACTGTAATAGTGCTTAAATGTTTGAAGAAGCCATCCTAGTCAGTGATTGTTTGCATTTATTTAATCACTGCAAAATTTCAGTTATGCACTTTTCCCCAATATTTAACAAAACATAGCTGAAATTCCCAATGCCATGGGTATGGGTCATGTCTTCCCAAAATCCTGGAAAAAATTCCTGTCTCTACCTATCTTCAACTTTGTAGGGTTACTCGTCACAGATTTAGGATGGACATAATTATATTGGCAGCTGGTTTGTAGAGTGTAATAGAAGCTTAACTCCTAAATGCTTTGCGGTGGTAGTTTGGTCTTCTAGACCTTCCTTACATGTACAAAATTGAATCTGAACCAGTCAATGTGTACTTGGTGAAGCAAAGTTCAGGCAAGCTCCAAATCTTCTGCCAATGCCATGTGCCTCCATGACATTCACATGCCAAGGGGTGAGAGAGTGAAAGACCCTGCTGAATGCAATTATATTAATTTTAGTTGTTGAAATTATATTTGTTGAGTGAAATGTTTCCGTTTTTAGCTAACCTATCACAAAGTGACATGGTGTGCTTTTGTGATCGCTTTTCTTCCGGCGTTCGGCCGTCGTCTGTCCGTCCGTCCATAAACTTTTACTTTAAACGACATCTCCTCATAAACCACTCATCCAATTTCATCCAAACTTCACAGGAATGTTCCTTTGGTAGTAAACTTTAAAAATTGTTCAAAGAATTTAATTCCAAGCAGAACTCTGGTTGCCATGGCAACCGAAAGAAAAAACTTAAAATATCTTCTTTTCGAAAACCACAAGAGCTAAAATATTTGGCATGAAACATCAACTAGTCAGTGTCTACCAAGTTTGTTCAAATAAATGCCCTGGGTTCAAAATTGGCCTGCCCCGGGGGGTCATTGATTTTCCTTATTTGTATATAGTAAAAGCTTAAAAAATCTTCTTTTAAAAACCCCAAATAGCTAGAGCTTAAATATTAAGCATGAAATATCTTCTAGTGGGTGTCTACCAAGTTTGTTCAAATAAATGTCCTGGGGTAAAAATTGGCCCGCCCCGGGGGTCATTGATTTTCCTTATTTGTATATGGTAAAAACTTAAAAAAAATCTTCTTTTAAAAACCCCAAATAGCTAGAGCTTAAATATTAAGCATGAAACATCTTCTAGTGGGTGTCTACCAAGTTTATTCAAATAAATGTCCTGGGGTCAAAATTGGCCTGCCCCAGGGGTCATTGATTTTCCTTATTTGTATATATTAAAAACTTAAAAAATCTTCTTTTAAAAACCCCAAATAGCTAGAGATTAAATATTAAGCATGAAACATCTTCTAGTGGGTGTCTTCCAAGTTTGTTCAAATAAATGCCCTGGGGTCAAAATTGGCCCATCCCGGGGGTCATTGATTTTCCTTATTTGTATATAGTAAAAAGTTTAAAAATCTTCTTTTAAAAACCCCAAATAGCTAGAGCTTAAATATTAAGCATGAAATATCTTCTAGTGGGTGTCTACCAAGTTTGTTCAAATAAATGTCCTGAGGTAAAAATTGGCCCGCCCCGGGGGTCATTGATTTTCCTTATTTGTATATGGTAAAAACTTAAAAAAAATCTTCTTTTAAAAACCCCAAATAGCTAGATCTTAAATATTAAGCATGAAACATCTTCTAGTGGGTGTCTACCAAGTTTATTCAAATAAATGTCCTGGGGTCAAAATTGGCCCGCCCCAGGGGCCATTGATTTTCCTTATTTGTATATATTAAAAACTTAAAAAATCTTCTTTTAAAAAACCCCAAATAGCTAGAGATTAAATATTAAGCATGAAACATCTTCTAGTGGGTGTCTTCCAAGTTTGTTCAAATAAATGCCCTGGGGTCAAAATTGGCCCACCCCGGGGGTCATTGATTTTCCTTATTTGTATATAGTAAAATGTTAAAAAATCTTCTTTTAAAAACCCCAAATAGCTAGAGCTTAAATATTAAGCATGAAACATCTTCTAGTAGGTGTCTACCAAGTTTGTTTAAATAAATGCCCTGGGGTCAAAATTGGCCCGCCCGGGGGGGGGGGGGGTCATTGATTTTCCTTATTTGTATTTTGTAAAAACTTAAAATAACTTTTTTTAAAAACCCCAAATAGCTAGAGCTTATATATTTAGCATGAAACATCAACTAGTCAGTGTCTACCAAGTTTGTTCAAATAAATGCCCATGGTTCAAAATTGGCCCCGCCCCTGGGGGTCATTGATTTTCCTTATTTGTACATGTATATAGTAAAAACTTAAAATATCTTCTTTTATAAACCCCAAATAGCTAGAGCTTAAATATTAAGCATGAAACATCTTCTAGTGGTTGTCTACTGAGTTTGTTCAAAGAAATGCTCTGGGGTTAAAATTGGCCCGTCCCCAGGAGGTCATTGATTTTCCTTATTTGTATTGAGTGAAAACGTATTTTCTTTTAGAAAACCGCAAGAGCTAGAGCTTAAATATTTGGCATGAAACATCACCTAGTCAGTGTCTACCAAGTTTGTTCAAATCAATGCCCTTGGGTCAAAATTGGCCCCGCCTGAGGGGTCATTGATTCTCCTTATTTGTATATAGTAAAAACTTAAAAAATTTTCTTTTAAAAACCCCAAATAGCTAAAGCTTAGATATTAAGCATGAAACATCTTCTAGTGAATGTCTACCATTTTGTTCAAATAAAAGCCCTGGGGTAAAAATTGGCCTTGCCCCAGGCGGTTATTGATTTTCATTATTTTGTATTGAGTAAAAATTTAAAAAATCTTCTTTTAAAAAACCAAAAGAGCTAGAGTTAAGATACTTAGCATGAAATATTTTCTAGTTAGTGTCTACAAAGTTTGTTTAAATAAAAGCCCAGGGGTCAAAATTGGCCCCTCAGAGGGGCGGGGGTTTATTGTTTTTTCCTATATGTATATAGTAAAAACTTAAAAAAACTTCTTATAAAAACCCAAAAGAGTTAGAGCTCAGATATTTATCATGAAACATCTTCTTATGGCTGTCTACCAAGTTTGTTCAAATAAAAGTCCCTGGTTTAAAATTGGCATTGGCCGAGGGGCCTATATACAGGTGAGCGATTTCAGGGCCATCATTGCCCTCATGTTTAAATTCTTTGATTCATTTACTGGTTGGGGACCATCAACCAGACACTTTTTGAACAATTTTCCATACAAATTTCATAATTTTAAAGCTAGAGATCTGAAAATTTGACGTAGTACAGAAAGGTTCTTATCCTAACTAACAAATTAGATTGTTTGGTTCTGATTATGTTGACACTTATAGGAGGGTATCAAAATAACCTTAATTGTCCATACTAAAGTACCATGTGTCCGGACAAATATGCAATGACACTGATTTAATTCAGATAAAAACTTGGGTGTTTTAATTTTTAGCTCACCTGAGCATGCTCAGGGTGAGCTTTTAGGATCGATGATTGTCCGTCGTCCGTTCACATTTAGTTGTTAACACTCTAGCGGTCGCATTTTTGCCTCAATCATCATCAAACTTGGTCAGGATGTTTATCTAGTTGATAGTTCGGATGAGTTCGAACATGGGTCATCTCGGATGAGAAACTAGGTCACAAGAGCTAAAAATAGAAAAACCTTGTTAACACTCTAGAGGTCACATTTTTGCCTCAATCATCATCAAACTTTGTCAGGATGTTTGTCTAAGTGATAGCTCAGATGAGTTCGAAATTTGGTCATCTCGGATGAAAAAGTAGGTCACAGGAGCTAAAAATAGAAAAACCTTGTTAACACTCTAGCTGTCACATTTTTATCAATCATCATCAAACTTGGTCAGGATGCTTATCTAGTTGATAGCTAGAATGAGTTCGAACATGGGTCATCTCGGATGAAAAAGTAGGTCACTGGAGCTAAAAATAGTAAAACCTTGTTAACACTCTAGCGGTTACATTTTTGTACAGTCATCATCAAACTTGGTCAGGATGCTTATCTAGTTGATAGCTCGGATGAGTTCGAACATGGGTCATCTCGGATGAAAAAGTAGGTCACCAGAGCTAAAAATAGAAAAACCTTGTTAACACTCTAGCGGTCACATTTTTGCATCAATCATCATCAAACTTGGTCAAGATGCTTGTCTAGTCGATAGCTCAGATGAGTTCGAACATGGGTCATCTCGGATGAAAAAGTAGGTCACCGGAGCTAAAAATAGAAAAACCTTGTGAACACTCTAGCGGTCACATTTTTGCATCAGTCATCATCAAACTTGGTCAAGATGCTTGTCTAGGTGAAAGCTTGGATGAGTTCGAACATGGGTCATCTCGGATGAAAAACTAGGTCACCGGAGCTAAAAATAGAAAAACCATGTTAACACTCTAGAGGTCACAATTTTGCCTCAATCATCATCAAACTTGGTCAGGATGTTTGTCTAGGTGATAGCTCTAATGAGTTTGAACATGGGTCATCTCGGATGAAAAAGTAGGTCACTGGAGCTAAAAATAGAAAAACCTTGTTAACACTCTAGTGGTCACATTTTTGCATCAATCATCATCAAACTTGATCAAGATGCTTGTCTAGGTGATAGCTCGGATGAGTTCGAACATTGGTCATCTCGGATGAAAAACTAGGTCACAGGAGCTAAAAATAGAAAAACCTTGTTAACACTCTAGATAGTGGTCACAATTTTGACTCAATTGTCATCAAACTTGGTCAGGAAACTTGTCTAGGTCATTGCTGGGAATAAATCGAACATAGGTTATCTCGGATGAAAAACTAGGTCACAGGAGCTAAAAATAGAAAAATCTTGTTTACACTCAAGTGGCTACTGTTGTGATCCAAATATTCTGTTAATTGGTCTGAAAGTTTGTTTTGATGATTTCTAAGTCAAGATCGAACATGGGTCATCTTGGATGAAAAACTAAGTCACACCGCCCAAATATGGAAAAACCTTGTTAACATTCTAGTGGTCACATTTTCGACTCAATTATCATCAAACTTGGTCAGGATGCTTGTCTAGGTAATTGCTTGGATGACTTCGAAATCGCGTGTGAAACTAGGTCACCGGAGCTAAAAATAGAAAAATCTTGTTAACACTCTAGTTGCTACTGTTTTGATCCAAGTATCCTGGAAATTGGTCTGAAAGTTTGTTTTGATGGTTTCTAGGTCAAGATCGAACATGGGTCACCTGGGTAAAAAACTAGGTCGCACTGCTCAAATATGGATAATCCTTGTTAACACTGTAGTGGTCACATTTTTGACTCACCTGTCATGAGACTTGATTAGAATGCTTGTCTAGGTAATTGTTTGGATGAGTTTGATAAGTCAGGTGAGCGATCTAGGGCCATCATGGCCCTCTTGTTTATCATTAACATGGATGATGATATACAATATTTCAGCAGCAAATGCTGAAGTTTTGGATATTCCATTGTTTACTCTGTAAGTGATTTTAACTGCTAAGTATAGGTTAGTGTTTGTTCAGTCAGCATTAATGAAATTACACCTGTCTGCGGAGTGCTTGGCAGTCACACCACAGATTTAATGGAATTTATGACTTAACAAACATTAAGATATCTAAAGTGTTAAAATTATGATTTTGAATCTTTTCACTCAGGGAGAATGATAATTAAGCTGATTTAATGGGATAGCTTGCTGATTAAATGAACATAAATTGATGTACTCGTTAGGGAACACCAAAACCGGACAACCACCAAACCCAGGACGGCCCCGAAAATGCCTGATTTAGTTTTTTTCTTTATTCAGTGGTTATCAATCTATCAGTCACTTTTTAACCTACAAATATTAAATGCATATTTTTCTATATTAAAGTACAGTTGACTCTCGGTAACTCGAAATCCAAGGGACTGGGCATTTTACTTCGAGAGAAACGGAATTCGAGTAAGATGGATCTGCCGCCATTACGTTGACATTCGTACATGTATATACATGTGCCTGATTGAATGTACAAAGAAGTAGGTTTATTGTTGTTGATAGCGGCAATGCTACAATATTTAACCGTTGAAATGACGGTAAATCACTTTCAACTACAAATTATGAACAAAAATATGTAATTTAATGCATGTATATTAATAGTGAAACATAAACACAAACATTCGTAGCAATGACATAAATGCAAGTTTGTCAGTATTCGTCAGTAAAGCACATGTTTATAATAAACACTCATGACAAATCATTACAATAAAAGCACAATAACACTTTTATATTAACAACAATTTATCTTATATTTGAAGTGAATTGATCAAATTAATGTATGCAATATGACGGAACATTAATTATACAAATGCCATTTACGTTGATAACACACATCAATACCTAGGCTGTTTTTTTACTAACACCAGTCCTGTCAGACTGGCACGAGTCTTAATTTTGTTATCTAACTCAAAGGGGTACGGCTCATTGAATGTTCACAAAATATGTATTTGATGGTAGAAAACATTTATCCTAAGTCAGAAATGAATTCTAAGTCCATTCCGGACATTACACTATATACTAATATATAGACTGACTTAGGATAAATGTTTTCTACCATCAAATACATATTTTGTGAACATTCAATGAGCCGTACCCCTTTGATCTAACTGTGAAAACCAATTCAGTCTTGAAACCGATTAAAGCCACTTTTACAACGTGTTAATAATACATGATGACCGGCAATTAAAATTTCTATGGAACGTGTGAATCACAAGGAGAACATCTCACCTTGATGTTGCCGACCTTTGATCAGTCGGTTGTTTTCATAATTCGACTAATTGAGATGAAAATATGTTGGACTTTAATTGACGGGACCAAATTTTCTTTTCGACTAAACAGGAGTCTCGGTAAGTCAAAATTTGACCTAAGCGGAGTTAAAATACAAAGATAAAGAAGGAAATTTGACGGGACTTTAGAAATACTTCGACTTACGCGGGATTTTGAGTAAAGCGATTTTGACTTATTGAGAGTCAACTGTAATTGAAATTATCACACACCCGTGCCGATTTTTTGACTCCGTAAATATTGTGTTGCACAGCCGTTTCAATTGATGTAAACGGTAATATCTTAAAGCTGCACGCCTCCAGATTAGCCAAAATATTTTAAGAAAATAAATATTGAGAAAAATATACTAAAATTTTAAGAAATGTAAAAACATTCAAGATCCAAGTTATATTAAAAATGTTATGTGCTGTTTGAGACTGATTTTTCAGTATTTTATCAGCATATGTCTACTGCATTACTAACGTAGTAAGGGCTTTTTTTTTTTGCATATCTTGACCTTTTTTTGGTAATTTTCATCTGAGTGCAATATATAAATTACTTTATTTGTTCAACCCACAATATTTTACTTTTAAATGCATTTTCAAAATTTTCATGAAAATTAACATGAATCTAGAGGTGTGCTGCTTTAATGTCTATTTCAAGAATGTTGACATTGAAAATTTGGACGTCAAAATTGCTATACAGGATGGTCGGACCTCTTAGACTATATTTTATATCTTGTTATCTATCAATTATTAATTTTTATAGCTTTAAGGAGCTATTTTTGCAATGTACCATTCCAGTACCTAGTTCAACTAATTGTATTTTGTGTCCAGTGATATATTATTCTACAAGAAAGCACTCAAAATTGATATCTATTTTCCTAAATTAAAAAAACAAGAATTATAATCAATTTTGTTTTTCTATATAGCTCTAAAATGGGGAAGAAAGATGCATCAGGAATCCATGGTACACAGGTTGATCAGTACAGGAAACAAATAGGTATGACTTTAAATATCAATACATTAAGAATTTACTATTTGTTTTGCTATGCTTGTGTGAATAATGCTGCTTACCACACTATATAATATTATCAACCTTACTTGCTTATGTGTTGTGGATCATGTGTTACACAGTCACCCTTTCTTACATTAAATTATACAGTAGACATCTGTGGTGCTGAAAAAACATGCAAGTCTTTGATATGTAAAACCCAACTATAAAATTGAAATTAGTTCATAATTATCACTGGTAGTTATTAAAAAGAACATCAGACTCATTTAATCATACCAAAAGTAAGTCTTCATTCTTAGTTCGACAGTTTAATGAGAGCTATTGTACTCACCCACGCTCTGGCATCAAACTTTGGTTTAAAATTTTTGTGTGCAAGTTAGTATCTTTAAAGTACTGAAGGGAATGGGTTGAAACTTAACACACTTATTGAAGAGCATAATAGGAGGTCACTTTCCAATGCCAGTAACTCTGACGTTGATTTTGACAGAATAATGTCCCTTTTTCAACTTTCAAAATTGTACATTATCTAGGCTATTGTTTTATTATCAAGCACTGAAAATAGTCGAGTGCACAGTCTAACCAACAGCTCTTATTTACTTAAATTTTGACAGTTAAATTATGTATTTCCTAAGAGCGTTACAATTCACACAAATGAAAACATTATTGTTTATCAAAAAATGTAAAATTATAAACCTGTTAACGTTTTCACAGGTAAACAAGACTACAAGAAAGCAAAGAAAAGCTTAAAAGCATCAAAAGCTGCACATGATCTCAAAAAATCCTCTACACCAGTCAAGGTTTGTACAAATAGTTTGATGTAATGTCTTCTTCCATTCAGCCTTTGCCACTTTCTATCTGCAGAAAGCTAGTTACAAATTTTGATTAGCAGTGATATTAGGTGAAGATATAACTTTCCATCTATGTAAATCAGTGTGATAGTTGAAGCTTTGTTTAATACCAGCAAGGCAGAATTAAACAACTAAAGGTCTATATTGTCATGTCAGTATTATAGTAAACTAACACTAGTTATAGCTCATTTGTTGGAACATCGCCATATGACCTTTACTGTGTCGGTGTGATGTAAAACCCAATCAAACAAACAAAGCTCATTTGCTTCCTGGGTAAAGTCAAGCTATTATGATGGCTGTGTTGTCGTAGTCTTTGTAGTTGTGCAAAAGCTTTAATGTACTACATTATTCAATCATTTTAAAAGTGATCATCATAAAACATGTAATATTTACTTATCACATTGTGACAACAAGATGCAGTTGTTAGACAAAGTGCATAATTCTCAAAGCTATATTATTTTTGAGTTATGCCTGTTTTGTCAAAATTTAAAAATTGGTCATTGCCATTAACAGACAAGTACTCGTTTACAATGCATGCTGTGCTCTTGTTGTAATATTTTGATTTAGAATTTCAACCAAGAGAAAGTGTTAAGTCTGTAGAAAGAATATAAATTGCTATTAGCTGATAGTGAGATATCAGTAAATCTCTAAGTAATTACAATTTAAATTTGTCTTGAAAAACAAAAACCAACAAAACATCAGAAGAACATGCCACATGAACTTGACCTTCACCTAATAGTTTTCAATTTATAAAATACAGATTGCCTAAACTCAAAAATTTTATGAGGTCATATCAATGATACACAGGCATTTTCTGGATAAAATCAGTCTTAGATTTAAAGGTTTAAACATGCTCTAAGCATTGGCAAGATTCAGTCTGTATATTAGTGCTATTGTCCAAACATTTGTAATTGGATCTTTGTGTTTTTGTTCTGTCAGAAAATAATCACATAATTATATGCTGTTAATTTTTCAGGACACCATTCTGATAGTGTTAACTGGACTCTGTGCTGTGGTAGCATTATATTTAACCCTATACTGGTATCTAAACAACAAAGAACCTATCTTTGATGATGTTTGAAAAACAAGATTGGCTTATCATTAAACTACAGTACCAGTGTGGTATATTATATTATAAACAATGATGAATGGTTTTTGGCAAGTAAATGAAGGATTTATGGTGTATACTCTACAGAAAGTGTGGTATAGTTTTTAAGAATATTCAGGAAAAGTGGAATACAGTTTGGTTGTGATATACTGAAAACAAAGTTAGAACAGCATGTTTATGATACTTCAGCATAGGTAAAAACTGTTCGGTTATGATACTTTAAGGATTAAAGAAGTTGGTATGTGATATCATAGTTATCTGTGATATAACATCAGGTATTATATGGTATAACATCAGTTATTATATGGTATAATATCAGTTATTATATGGTATAACATCAGTTATTATATGGTTTAATACCAATTACTATATAATATGACATCAGTTATTATATGGTATAATATCAGTTATTATATGGTATAACATCAGTTATTATATGGTATAATACCAATTACTATATAATATGACATCAGTTATTATATGGTATAATACCAATTACTATATAATATGACATCAGTTATTATATGGTATAATACCAATTACTATATAATATGACATCAGTTATTATATGGTATAATACCAATTACTATATATTAAATATGACATCAGTTATTATATGGTATAATACCAATTACTATATAATATGACATCAGTTATTATATGTTATAATACCAATTACTATATAATATGGCATCAGTTATTATATGGTATAATACCAATTACTATATAATATGACATCAGTTATTATATGGTATAATACCAATTACTATATAATATGACATCAGTTATTATATGGTATAATACCAATTACTATATAATATGACATCAGTTATTATATGGTATAATACCAATTACTATATAATATGACATCAGTTATTATATGGTATAATACCAATTACTATATAATATGACATCAGTTATTATATGGTATAATACCAATTACTATACAATATGACATCAGTTATTATATGGTATAACATCAGTTATTATATGGTATAATACCAATTACTATATTATATGACATCAGTTATTATATGGTATAATACCAATTACTATATAATATGACATCAGTTATTATATGGTATAATACCAATTACTATATAATATGGCATCAGTTATATGGTATAATACCAATTACTATATAATATGACATCAGTTATTATATGGTATAATACCAATTACTATATAATATGACATCAGTTATTATATGTTATTATATGATATAACATCAGTTATCTTAATATACAATATCATAATTCAATCGGGACATGAAACTAATTAACAGAGCTACAGTGCATTAATCCAAAGGAGAAGCAACTGAAATGTGATATCTTTAAGACATTATGCAAATGTGAAATATTGTGATAAAAACATATTTACAGGCATTGTGTGATAGTTTCAATTATTACCCCTCACTTTTTTCGTAATGCTAATTTCCCATAGGCCTCTGGGAGTTATTTTTACTGTTAATGCAAGTGTACCACATGACTAAGAATTTTGTACTGTTACATAGGTAACAGTATAAAATCTGGTCACGTGGTCTATTTCATAAATAAAATGAAATAAAATGGCCGCCATTTTTTTCTCGATTCTTTCTTATTTTCAACGCTAAACCCCGATAGGACATCAATTTCTTCTCTGAAGTAACTATGAAACTCATAAAATTTAGTTGTTTGCAACCTGGTGTGCTTTTCGCGTATAAAATATCTTTTTGTTGAATAGTCAAAAAGTGAGCATCCGTTTTCAACGGAAGTAATTGCAATGTAAATAATTATGTGTCAAACTGGAACATGCAGACGATTTAAGCATGCAACAAAGGATTATTTAACAATTTTAATCAGTGAAACATTACAGATATGGTTGACAGACATAGGATATCATCGTTATTTTGTGAAAAACCATGCTAAGAATATTCTGGAAACACTTTTACAGAAGGATCAGATTTCACAGATCATAACCGTGTAAATGGGTTAGTGTTTTGTTTTCTAAACAAAAACCTAGCTTATTGTATGTTTATGATTTGCAGATATCATCACTTTCTTAAAGAATAAAAGAAAAAGAAAACTTCTCAAGTAGACCTAAAGTACACTTAAGACGTAAAAGGTAAGGACAGTTTAGTTATTGTTACTTTTGGTTTATTTTTGTTACAGTTAGATTTAGTTGACAATTTCATATCATCACAGTATTTTTGTTCGGGGTAATAAAATAAATAACACATGGGTTTGTGAGTAACAGTAAAAATATCATCCCTCGTAAAAATACTGTTACCCTCGGCCAAGCCTCGGGGTAACAGTATTTTCCTCGGGATGATATTTTTACTGTTACCCACAAACCCATGTGTTATTTATATACTATCACATACCTGTGCCGCTTTTGCGACTGTAAAAACAGTATTGCATGTGCATGCATATATTTTGATGTGACATCATTTGCGTTATACAAACATAGTGTAAAGACACGCTAAATGTTAGCGTTAAACTATAGGTGCGGCAATGAAAAATTACTCTTTTTTTACTTTAAACAGTCTTTATAGTTTGGATATGTGATAAATAGAATATAATTCTCGTGTAGGTTCATTACTGAATTTATTTAACGAATTGAATAAAATAATATAATGCTTGCCAGAGGCTGGCATTATATAGTTTTATTCAACTCGTTCAATAAATTCAGTAATGAACCTACACTGATGCATATCCTCTATATCATAAAGTAGTTACTGGTAGTATTGTTTAAATTTGTTTTTGAACTTGTGTTAAATTATGATATCAATAGACTACTGAGTTAATTTTAGCTTTAAACGAAAAATTGAAAGCATAATAATAATATTTTAGAGTTTTACTTTTAATATATACTTACCTCTTTTATGTTTCAAGTTGTAAAGAAAGTAAGAAAATCAATCATTCCTATTAATTTTCTATTTTTTATGAGGGTTTACTTGTCTATTTATATTTGCTTATTTTTTTTTTTTTGAATTTTGTAATGACAGGACATTTATTAACTTAATTCCAAATATTATTCAAATAATTTTATATGTTGAAGATCCCACCCATTTATTTATTTGTGAACAGTCTTTTATTTCTATGTTAATAAGTCCCATTTTCTGTTATTTCTGTTCTGTTAGTCTGTTATTTTTCTTTTACTGTTTATATCATTGTGTAAACTTTGTTTGTCAAAATTATGAATGGGTGTACGTGAATTTCAAATATAGGGTACAGTTTGTTAGTTGAAAGTGTATAAAGCTATATTTGATGATATATTTTTAATTTAATGTTTAAAAAATTCCACTACTTGTTTTAGTAGGTTGGGTCATGATTTCACCATGCCCAACTCGTTTTCAAAAAAATATACCTACAAATGTTTTTCATTCTAAGTAAACTTCAATCATTTGAATTATAATATAAACAATAAGTTTACAATCCACAGACAGCAAATATATATAGAATTGCTTCTTTACTTATTGTATAAATTCATGTTGTTTTTATGTATTATGTTTTTCTTTTTAATGAGAATTTTTCTTGATCAACCATCAAACAGCAAAAAACACAATTCTGATTGTTTTAAATTGTTGCAGTTGCTGGCATGAATTTACAGTGGAGTGTTTTTGAGATGGTTACAGATAATGTTATATGTATATGAATTTTCAACTAGAAATTATAAGAATTCTTTATGTTGAATATTAAGTAAGATGTGCTTTTAAGAATGTGTATATGGTGATGTCTCATACATGTAAGGGATGTTACTACATCTTGTTAAGCTAAATAATGATAATATTTTGTAATAATCTCCCTTAGACTGTAAAATTTAGAACTATCTGAAAGTCTTTTTAGTAATTTAAATATTCTCAATATTTATGCTCCCATTTATGAAATGTAAAAGTACAAGATTTGTATGCATGACCAAGGAGGTATTTCTTTAAATTACTTCATTTAAGTACTATCATGAAGTTATATGCAATAAATTGAAAACTTAAGGACTTGTTTAGTTCTTCTTTTATTTATTTATCACACACCCGTGCCGATTTTGCGACTCCGTAAATATGGTATTGCACGGCCGTGCATATATTTTGACGTGACGTCATTAGAGTTATACAAACATAGCGTAAAGACGCGCTAAATGTTAGCGTTATACTATAGGCGCTCAATGAAAAAATGACTCTTATTTTACTTTAAAAGGTCTTTATTTTATGTATGTGATAAATAGAATATTAAATTTGTGTAAGTTCATTACTGAATTTATTGCACTCGTTAAATAAAATAATATTATGCTCGCCAGAGGCTCGCATAATATAATTTTATTCAACTCGTGCAATAAATTCAGTATTGAACTTACACTCATTCAATATCCTCTATATCTTCCATAAGTGCATGTTTTGTCTTCTGAGTATGGTACATATTAAATTTGAAATACATGTTGTCTTTTGAAATTACTCAGCTGGCTAAATGGATGTTAATAGTAGTTGACCAGTCCATTGGTTCTATGGATACATGATGATATAACAACAGTAAGACAATTACTGACACACTTGGTTTGGTAGGATTAATTAAGAAATAATATATCCCAAGTTTGGAGTTCGGATACGAGGAATTATATCACGAGGGCGTAGCCCTAGCGCATCCGAACGACAAACAGTGATGTTATCCAGTGATAAAATCACCGATTTGGATATATTATTTCGATTCTAACACGACATCAACAAATAAATGCTGCCGTATTTGATATTAAGCAAAATTGCGCCTGATTTGTTTCGCGTCGGATTTTATAGTGGTTACGTCACATGTATAATGATTACGTCACATGTCTAAATATAGAACGTCAAACAGTGATTTTATAGCATAATAACACACACTTTCGGTTCTTCTATGTTCAATAGGGAAAAATGTGGGTCGTGTTAGAATTAATTTAGTAAAGTATCAAAACGTAGTGGCCTGCATTGACAGACTGACCTGTTTGTTTTGTGACTAAACACTTTTATGAATACACATTATAAACTTGCAGTTAAGTAAGATGAATGTGATTTATTTCATGCTTTCCAGTGTTTTATTGTAATATATCAGATGATTATATTAGTGAAATTTATAAAATATAATTTTCACTGTAGCCGGACTATATCTGAATGCGGATGAAAAGAAAATCAAACTAAATGGAAAAACAGGCAGAAAAAAATGCCGTCATAGATCTACGTAAATTTTGCTTCTTTAGGAAAAGAAAGTCGATGTCACCATACATCATGTTAAAAATGTAACAAAATTAGAGAAATTTAACAGAACTATATTTCAAAATTGATGATGTGACGTCATGATGTGATGACGTCACAAAGGAGAATGCGCGACGTTACGCGGCAAAATCAGTAAAAAATACTTTAAATCACTTAAAAAGCATGAAATAAAAAGAAAATTTATTTGTTTTACATAAAAGATTGAAATATATTTCATTTGTGAACACCAGCTATTATATTTCCACTCATGGCTACGCCACTCGTGAAAATATTGCATCTGGTGTTCACTCAGTGAAATTATATTTCAATCTTACATGCAAAACAAACAAATATCCTCTATGACACTATCAGTGCGGAGGATGATCTGATCTGAGGATCTATCAGCTGTTGCTCGACATGTTTGAAACATATAAGAATATTTTGATGCATATATTATTGCAGATTTTTGTTTCGATTTGGCAAAGGAGCTTCTGTTTAAAACTCAGCTTAAAAGGACTCCACTGAGGTTAAAAATTCTAAAAAATAACATTTCAATTTCTTACACTAATGAGCTGGGGCTCTTTAAACAGAAATAAATGCAAAGATAGTTAAGAAATATACTTTGAAATAAATTAAAAATCGTATGTTTATGCTTTTCTTAGCCCGATTTGAGTGAAAAGCGTTTAAACGCTTTTCATTTTATGAATTTTTTTACAATTTGAATAATTATTCTGGAAAGACAAAGTGCGCGAATGATCTGAAAATTTGCACATAGATTAGTGTTTTAAACCTAAATCAAATGGTACATATTTCTGGAAAAAATATTTTCAGTCCCATCATGTCAAAAAACCTCAGTGGAGTCCCTTCAATCTCAATCTGTATATTATAATGTTAACATTATTGTCATTATGAGCCTTGGAAAGTGACCCACTATCATGCTCTCAAATAAATTTGTGAAGTTTCAAACCATTCCCTTTAGTATTTTTGGAAATACATAACCAAAGTATGACGCCGAGATGCATCCATTACCGACACTTTCAAATCTCGCAATATGGCCTTCATTTAAGGACATGTGTTTCATTTTTTATTGTATTTGATTATTATTGTTTTAACTTATCAAGTACACACAATATGCGAACTTCAACCAGCATCTCGCCCGGCATATTTTAAATACATGCATAAGCCTATTCGCATGTGGGTTTTACTTTTTTTTACTGAGAAGTGTATTTTCATTAGCTATTTTGTTATCATTATTTCGATATCATTTAGACATCTGACTTCGGATTCTTGATTAAACGTTAACCGTTTAAGATATAAGAGTTAAATAAAGGGCAATTTCTGTGAAATGGACCGATGTAATGTACTTTTGTCTGGAAAAATATTGACAAATAAAGGATTGATAACTGGCGCCATCTATTGACGAATTACAGTAATGTCTCATATATCTTAGTAAAAACAGCACCTTCCTATAAAAACATGTAATTATCTTTTCTTTTATAGAGTTCTAAATTTTTCAGTCTATATTCAATCTTTCCTTATACTCTGATATACCATGAATCATAGATTTATTTTCATATAAATGGTTAAACTGAAATGCCACAGAATGATAGCTTAAATATAAAGCTTTAGATTATGTTTGAATGGATATGTTAATATCTAAACAGTTTGAGGATATTAATAAGCATGACTTAAATCAGAAAAAATCTATAACTACCATTTGAAATTATTTTTACCACAGCACCCATTCCCATAAAAATGATAAAACACAAGGACATGCAAATATCTTCCATAAAACAACAAAGCTCTACCAAGCTAATAAGAAGTTTGATATATGAATGTAGTGCAATGCTAATGCATTTAAAACTATCATTCAGAACATATTTAAAAAATACTAAACAGCAATCTACATTGGTAAGTTAACATTACTGCTCATTTTATGGCAGGAAATAGTTTAACAATATGCATGCACGTCCAAACGTCCAAATCATGACGTTACATCGGAGGTCAGTATATACAGAGCTTCCGTGTGGATACGGATGTTTGTCATTATAAGGAGCGTCGAGATGAAATGATAAAATAAAACATAAAACACTAATCAAGGATTATATTTAGTTATGTTTAACC